TAAGAAGAATATGGATCTGTGAAAACATTGAGCGACTTCCAGGTTCCCAGTAAATAGACAGGAACTGCACCACACTACAGTGAAACAGTGAAAACTACATAACTCCTAATGTTTGGTAATATGTTGTCATCTCAACTTTGTAGGGAGATGATATGTCATTGTTGTGTTTACAGCTTGCTCCGCTGGCATCTAGTGGTCAAAATTTAAATAAATAAAAATAATACTGCTTTATACCTGCAGGATCTGATCTTTTTTTTGCCGCCTGGGGACTGCGTGACACAATACTAACATATCATTGCCTTTTATGTTGATATGGTGAACAGTTGTTTATTTACACATTTAGCAGTTACAAAGCAACATTATTATTCGTTTGCAGTCATGTTTCTTGCCACCTGATGAATTTTAGTCCAATATTCACTCTCTCTCTTTGATTCTGTTTTGGTGGTTCTGCACAGGTAGTGTACAGTGGGTTTATCAGAACTTTTTTTTAACTAAATACAACTGCCTCCTGTGGCTGAAAACAACTCTTTGGGAGCCGTGAGAGTGAATCAAAACAGTTAAGACGTGGACTGGAAAACTTAAACAATGAGCTGAAAGACTATAAAGTGTAGAGCTGAACACTTATTATACAAATACTATTTGTAGTCGCTTTAATATTGAATGTATATTGTATGAGATCTCCCTTTAAGTGCTGCATCATGTTTTTCTGCAGACAAGTATTCAGAATTTCCAGATCCTACTTCAGCATGGTGCTGCTGGACAAGCTCGGACTGGACCGCGAGCGTTTCATTACCCCAATGGCGTCGGATGAGCTGTTCTCCTACATCGACAGCTTCCTGCTGGATGAAGAGGAACGAGAGAGGCTCGAGCTCCACAGAGACTTCTGTGACTAATTTAATAAACCCCTCTGGTTGCCACAGTGATAAACTCATCAGTATTACTATCACAAGATGGGGAAGGACAAACAACCAGAAGCCAGGTCCAGAGGAACATGAGGAGGGAAACGAGGACAAGAAGGCAGTTCCACATGTTCAAATGTGATCATTATACAACACTGAAGTGATAGCACTGTTTTCTCTTAATCAAATCATCAGCTGAGGGGCATGGAGGCCAGATTCAGAAAACATAGCAGACAAGGTTTAGGGAGAAACTATCAGTAAATAAATAGATTATCCAAAGAAAGTCTGTTAGTAACCTGTGGTCTAATGAGAACTAAAAGACCTAAAATTATAACGAACAACCACCTCTACAAAAGACCACTGACGAGCACTTGAGTGGACAGATCATTTAAGAATCCAGATGGTATTTAAGTGTAATATAGATCTGAGGCAATCACGCATGGGTTAGGTTTAGTCTGTTTGTATAGGGTGAACAGAACTCTGAAATAAACATGATTCTGATCACACTCGAATGAGGAGTTAAAAGTTACAAATCTACATTTATGTCTGAGAATAGACAAATTTATAAATTTCAAATAGAGATTCTTATTCAACTTATATAAATATAACTTTACATGATAGCATTATTTTAAAATACAATGGTGTAGTTTAAACTAAGCACAATTTGTTGGATGCAACATTGGAGAAATTGTGTATAATACCAGTTTATAATGAATTGCATCCTCTTGTATCAGTGTAATTCTGTACACAACTGTAAGAAAAAGGGGGACATATTTGTGACACAGTTTCTGTGCTAAGTGCTGTGCATGATTTTTAATCGCAATAATATATACAGTCTGAATTTTAAAAACATAAAATGACTGTGTCAGTGCTTTTATAATAAAGACTTTAGTGTTGTATGCTTTGGCACATTTTCAGCAATAACACCAGTCTCCAGTCTGGAGGGAGGGAGGGAGGGAGGGAGGGAGGCAGGTGTGAGCAGATGTTTAGCATTCAGCAGGCCACATCCATCATTTTTCCAACCCAGTTTAGATGAAACAATGCCCACTTCTGTATGATGAAAGCCTCGACCCTAACCCTAGCCCATACAGAAGTGGGCGGTGTTTCAGCTGGGTTGGAAAAAAAACAAAACAAGCCAGCAGGCCAGGAGACTGTGAGGCTGCTCACAGCTGATCAGCTGTGAGCCTGCTCATTTCAGTACACAAGCTTCTGGTCAGATAAGCTTACAAAATAAAATGAATCCACATTCTCATGTTTGTCTCAGAGGACACAGCTTCTCCCCATTTCGGCCTCTTTTTTTTGTGGGTTCAGGCCTGTGCTGCTGTCCTCATTTGCCCTTAGCCTTCCCCATAGTGGAACGCAGTAGAAGAGTGCCCTCTGCCCATGAGTCAGGGTACTGCAGCATCTCCTTCTTCTTCTTCCCACAGACTGACCTCCTCTCCAACTGAGTCCATTTCCACTTCCTCCTTGGCTATTTTAACAGTGCCTGCAGGGGTGAAGATTACACAGTGAATGCAAAATTAGTGCAGAGTCTGTTATTATTAAAGATGGCAAATTCCTTTAACACTATTAATTGTCACACTGGGGAAAAAGGCATGGAAGCCTTATGGGCACTTTAGCAGCAAAATAAAATTAAGCATGACTTTCTCATAAAGGCTGTTATGCTTTGGCAGGAAAGCTATGGTGTTACTTTCTCTTTTCATGATGATAAACTAAATTCACCTTCATTCAAAAGTTACAGAGCTAGGAGAGCAACACTGTTTTTGAAATCTGTTTCAAAACAATAGTAACTCAGATGACTTCTGAGTTTGTCAAATGAAGTGGATATCTTCCAAAGTTCTTCCAAAATTCCTTTGTGTTTCTCTGTTTTGTGGGAATTTCGTACTAAAAAAAGGCTGTAACTTTGGAAGGGACCCACTTCATTTGACAAACTCAGACCGCTTACCTCATATTAGCTTTGGATACATTTCTAAATACATTTTTACATGAAAGGACAAATGTTGTCCCCATCACCTTCACCGAAAATACGATAGAAAAGGATCTTTTAATGGCCAGTGTGAACAGCAAGCAAAAACCTGTTTAAATGTTCATATGGACACCTGACTGTACAACTGACTACTGAAAAATGTTGAACCTATCCTTTAAAGTAAAATCATTTTCAACTACAAAAAGTTACAACTGTGACATCAAACTAAAGCAATAGAATTCAGTGTGGACCAAGGCCAAAACAACAAACTAAATAAGTGCTGACTAACCGAAGTGAAACAGACAAAGAGACGTTCATTAAACCAACTCCCTAAGATAAAACAAAAACAGGTGAAAATAGTTCAAAAGGCTGGCTGCTCCCGCCTACATCTTTGTTGCTATTTATAAAAGGTGGATTATCCTTTTTACAATACAATATTCACAGCTAAATAGGACAATATGGATAACAAGATCTCACAGAATAACAATTGTCTCAGTAGCACACAAAGAAACAACAAAATGGACAAAGAGCTGAGAGAGATGTTTCTCACCTGTAACTGAAGGGGAGTTAAAAAAAAAAAAAAGCAGCGCTCCAGTAGCACTGTGGATTTGGAAATGTTTTATGAGGAAGGAAATGCATTCATCATGTCCATTAGAGCTCTTACAAAGCGTGAGAAACACTGAATGGAAACAGAAATTCTGTTTACAAGAAAACTCCCCAGGACACCTTTAAGTCCTTTTGAAAACATGGATACGGAACAATGCAAGTTATGAAGAAAAAAACAGCTTTGTAAATGTTTCATAAAGAAGGAAATATGTTTAACACGTTTGTTAGACCTCAAAAGATACAAACAACGCACAACTCCACTGGGCACCTTTCCATCATAGTATGGTAAAGAAAAACAAATTCTGTTTCTCTTTTCTACCTTTACCATGAGAGCTACATGGTCCTCGTATGGTGAGTCAAGGTCTCGGCAGCCCAGAGGGATCTCCACCTCTCCCAGGAAGGCGCTGCGGCTGAGGCAACCATGATGCCAGACTCATATCAACATGGAGCGGGTGAACAGCTGAGAGCGGCTGACAGAGTACTGGAAGTGGAAGATGAGGAGGAGACTTGATGGTTCAAAGGTGTGTCTGAGTGCTGATACAGTGATGGTCGTACATGTTTAATGCTCTCATGCTGAGGGAGTTTTAAATAAATCATGGAACGTAGATTAAAGAAGAAGATGATTTCAGAGTTTATTGGACCTGTAAAGAGCAAATCCAAAACTACAGCGCAATCTATTACAAATGGATTCACCCAGCTGATGTCCTTTTCAGCGGTTTTGTTTGCCACTGTATTTAAGTTGACTCTACATTGGAAGCCAGGACCAAAATCAGTATTTGACAACAGGTATTCTAATCTGCAATGTCAATATCAATCTTAAGGTCTCTGTGGGTGTGGTTATTATTTGCAGCAGGCATGGCGCAAGGTCAATAATCAGGGAGTGTCATTAGGTCAACAGGATAAGGTCACCAGTTGCAGTACAGTTTGAGAGGAGCCAGTTATAAACCATTACCTTCAGTGTTTCTTTGTAGATGGGGTTGAGATGAGAGATTGAGATCAGGATGCCATTATCCTTTTATGAAAGATAACCAAGCTGTCAATATCTTCCTCCTCCTCCTCCCTGTGGTACCATAATATACATTTAGACAGCTGATCATAAACACATAGTGGCATTTCTTTTCTTTTTTTACCATTAGATTTCCCTTGTTTGAACAAAAAGTTTATGTTATTAAGGAATTTAAAACAACACATAATATAAATTAACAGAATATCTGGTAATCTGGAAAAGAGTTAAAGGAAAAATCTATTTTTGCACAGTGTTAAAATAAGGCCACTGAGGACGCCTCTTTCATATCAGTATCCATAGCTAACCAAATCTAGCTGTAGATGTAGGCCTATTATAAGACATATTAGGTTCAAAGAATACTTCCATGGTGGGGAACAAACAAACAACAGTAACATTAGACTGAGCAGGAAGGGGAGGCGCCAAAAGCCAAGGAAATGTAGAGCAACACTATTTATACACTGCCTTCACGCGGTGATTGGGCGGTGTTGGCGCCATTTTGCATTTAAATACTGACGACAAAAAACATGATGGCATCAGTGAACCAATTCTGGTGTGCTCAGTCCGCGGTCAGTAAGTAAAACACTCGGCTGGCTTCCTCTTCTTCATGCCGGTCTCCGGGAACCCTCTTACATCCTGTTTGCCGGGACAAATCAACCAGCCGGTACCGGAGGTAAGTCCGACAGCGCCAGAGTTTGACTGGGAAGATGGCTCACCTGTGTGGTAAAAGCGCAGGGTAAAATGAATTAAATAGAACTGAAACATTGATTGTTTAGGAAGAGCGTTACACAAATTTGAGACGCCTAATAACATGAACTGAATTTCTGTTGTTGCTGAATCACTGAAGTGATATTTTTGTTGCATTATATCAGTGGTGAGGTAACAGACTGTGACATTTACGGCTTCAGGCAGAACACAGGTTGGACGTTGTGTCAGACCGGTGGAGTTAGGCAGGTGCACACCTCATTTCACAGAGGCTTGCAGGGGAGACACGAGGGCAGCGGCGCATGCTAGGCCTAAAGCTGATTTCTGTGTGTAATGTCTTGTCAGGTTTGGATGTCTATGTGTGACCCTGTTGTTAATATGCATTTCAGACCTGTTTCCTCAAGGGGTCGAAGGAGGTTGGTAGTCGATAGTAAGTAGATCGACGTACAGACGAATCAGAGGTCCATTAGCTGCTCTTGCTGTGGGACTGTTTTTTCTTTTATAGTCCACCCTGGCAAGTGAGTCGGCATAGCGGGCAAAAAGACATGGGTTTTGTCCTTTGGGGCGGAATAGTTTTAATTTCTTGTTTGTATTTTTAAAAAAACAGTTTACTTCCTCAACTGTGATTGACTTAACTCAGGTCAAGTCGGCAGTCAGGGCAGGGTTAAGGTGTGACATGGGTTGTTCCTTAAATGATCAAGTGTGTAACTCTAGAATGTGTTGACTCAAAGTGTGCACAATTTAGCATTGCAGTGGATACTAGTTTGTCTTAGCTGGGAACTCACTGATGAGGTCGAGCTGGGTGAAGATGAATTGTAAATTGTACTTCTGTAATCTTCACCTCCTGGGTCGTCCTTTCTTAGCTTGTTACCTGTAGTGGGTGTAACACAATCAACAAGCAGAAGGCAGGTGGTCCTGTTGCCCTCATCTGCAGATCCTGAAAGGTGTAGTAGATTTTCAAGATGGACAATGGCGCAGGCTTGAAAATCTACTAAACCTTTCAGGATATGCCATGGATATGAAGGCAACAGAACCACCGGCCCTCTGGTTAGACTTTGCTTTGTGATTGGACTGTCATTGTCCACTTAGATTCAGGTGTAGAAATAGTGTCAACTTTGAGCACCAGGTTTTACACAAAGCGCTTTCTTTCACAGTGTCTGTATGTTACCTTACCACTGGTCATTTGTCCGGTTTTATTCACAAAGTCTGTTTTTTCTTCTTACAAAAGCAAAACTTGTTCATAGTATTTTATTGACTTTGAGGGTAATTTGCAACACATTACAACAGAACTGTATTGTAAACTAAAGTGAAATTCATCAGCATATTGTAGTTTGTTGTTACAGTTGCACAGCTTTGGTCAGTAAAGTGATGCATCAGAGTTGTTGCTTAGTAGTTCCTCATTACTTCATTGTGTCACAATGATTTCATAACATATCAGAGACAGCAAGTTTACGAACAAGTATTTTAATTATAACATTCAAGCCACATGTATACTAATAATCACACCCAAATTATTTTCTGATGCATTAGTGACTTAAAAACAAACAAGTGTAATAAACTGATTCACTGTAACTCATTAAAACACACACATTAAACATTTAACAATGGACCTGTGTGGAAGGGCAATTAGTGAAAGTACAAACTGCATTTATATATAAAAACAAGAACTCTTTACACTGATGTTTGTCACACTGAAAGTTACCCTGACTGATCCAATAGCATGTTTCTATTAGATTTGTCATGTTGGTCGATGAGCACAACCGCATTGTTAGACGTACACACCAGGAGAGATAGACACAGAAAAGTCAGACTTCAGCAAAAAAAGGTCCAGCACGTGTCCTTCATATTTTCTTGTTTTCGCAGATGACTGGCAGTTAGCTTTAGGAGAAATATGCAGTTTTTTTTCAGCGTGACTAACGTCAGTTTAAGGCCAGTATATTTTTACTCTACATTCATAAGTGACTTTTTTTTTTTTTTTATAATTTGTCAGGTAAGATGTTTTTTAAATTTGCCCTTTTTTTTTAAAAAAAAAAAAAAAAAAAAAAAAATTGCAATTGCAGTTCCACACAGATCATGGTTAAATGTTTTTAAGATGAGTTAAAATTATATTCATTTTTTTTTTTTTTTTTTTTTTTTTTTTTTTAAGTCATCATCACTAATGCATCAGAAAACAACATGGATGTGATTATTAAAATATACGTATATGTGGCTTGAATATTATAATTAAAATACTTGTTTGGAAACTTGCTGTCTGATTTGTTAAGGAACTTATTGTTATAACTTAATGAGGAACTACTCGGTAACAACTGTTTGATTATCACTTCAAAGCTTGATGAACAGACTCTAACTGTTGTTAGCTGTAGCTACTGTTAAATTCCAGCTTTGCTGGTTATGTGTGAACTAATAGATATGTAATGAAAGCAGGATATTTTACAGTTTAACAATAAACTTTATTGTCCAAAATGAAATCAGTGCACTGAAACAGTAAACTTCACTGGAAATGAAATAAAAATAACTAAGTGTGTGTGTAACTTGAATGAAAACAAAGGATCAAATATACTTTAAATCTGCCTATAAAACCGACCATTTCCATTGCATTATTGCTTCTTAATAAAAGTATTTATATTGGCAAAAGTATTTATATTGGCAAAAGTATTTATATCGGCGAATGTATGTGCTGATACTGATCTATCTTTGTTAGGTCAATATCAGCCGATAAAATCGGCCCACTCATAAATCAGTCGGGCTCTACTAAATTTATATTGGTAAATTTTATTACTTTTGTACTCACAGTACATGCTAAATGAGGTTTAAATGAATTATTAAATCTTTTATGTCCTTACAATGCTTCAAAACTTTTTTTTTTTTTTTTTTTTTTTTTTTTTTACAGTCAAAAGAGCTTCTTAAAGTCCTTTTTTGCCCTGCAAAAGAGTCATTTTGTTTCATACAATCATCACTGTTTTCATAGAGATGCCAGAGTCCAATTTTGGCCGGTACCACACCTCATGGTCCCCAACAACCAGCAAGAAATGGTAAGTCATGTGCATGACTTCAGTCCATATGTATATAGGCCCAAATTGGGGCCAAAATGATTTTGAACTTGTGAAGTGATAATGAATAATTCCAATGATTGTAGTTGTAAATCAACATTTGTAAACCTGTAAAATAAATCTGCATGTGAAAAAATTGTGCTTGTGTTGAAGAGATTTGGATCTGTTAAGTTAGAGTCAAAGAAATGGGTTTTGTCAACATCTGTGACCTGATACAGAGCAAAACTGTGTCCCTGTGTCTTTGTTTAACCTCACCACTGATCATTTGTTCAGTTTTGATTCAGACCTTTTTTTTTTTTCTTTTTTTTTTTATATAAACAAATACAAATCTCTTCGACACAAGCACAATAAGTAAATACATAGTAAGTCGCCTCCCCCAGCAGCTAGCTTGTGCATTAGCTAGCAGCTAGTTTGCTGTCATTGTATACTATAAAGTATATGGATGAAGTTCCCTTTATGCTACTCACCAAAATGAATTATAAATGAGTGAATAAGTAAGATGTCATAAAAATAGAACTTTTTCATGGTGGACTCATGATATTATACAACCCTGTATCTCACAATAAATAAATTAACCTTTTTAATCTTTCACTTATGTAGTATATATTGTTCATTATGACACTATTACCACCTGTAAGAGATGAGTTGGCTGTTCAAGTAAAGTACAGGACTAATGAAGCTAACTAACAGGCGATTTATAGCTTACATATAGATAATACCAATTATGCTGTAAACAGCAAATTTATTTATTTATATATATTATTTTATATTATTATAAATATATAATAATAATATATCATTATATTATATATAATTATATATATATATATAATATAGTATATATAATATATATATAATATATATATATATATATATATATCCTTAAATTATATTTTTATTTATTTTTTGATGATTTTCTGCTCTGTGTTTGAACTTCTGACTGCAGTTACATGAGCAGGACTAACGTGAGATATTACAGAGCGACCAGGAGAGGGAGACGTTCTCATGTCCCTTGCTGCTGCATTGCATTCTGGTCTATTCTGCAGGTGTGTCTGTTCATCCACAGAAAATCAGATTTTTTTTGGTTTCTCACTGTAAACTTTTGTCCATTTAATCTAATAAAAAATAAATAAATCAAACACAGCACCAGTTCTGTCTTTTTTGTGATGGAATGCTCATTCAGTTTTTGTAGTGATGATAATTAATAAGAGGTGTAACAACCCTCTTCATACATTCTTTTGTGCTTTTTCTATGTGAAGCAGTCGGTTGTTTTGGGGGAAAAGTGCTTTTGGTTCTTTGCTTCAATAATTTTGATTACATTTCTCTTATTTTTATTTATTTTTTTGACTATTGAGTAGAAGTAGACTTTTTTTTTTTTTAAACTGAGTGCCTCATTAGATCTTTAGGAAAAATTGCCACACAGAATCTACAAGTTGCAATGAGATGAAACTGAAATCATTAAACAGATAAATGGAGAACCGATGTAACTGATTCAGTTTGATGTTTGTTCAGTTAATTATTCCCTAAAAGGTTTAATTTGTGTTCTACTGAGCTGATTACAAATGAAGTCACACTTGAGTCATTAGTGTATAGTTTTTTCTATAGTTTGTTTATAGTTTTTAAGAAACTTTTCCCCATACATTTTTTTTTTTTTTTTTTTGGGGGGGTTTTTGGGCT